AGCAAGCTGGGAAACAGTTGATGATAATGAGCTAAATAGCCTAGAGAATGCAAACGAGGTTGGTCACTTCCAGAACATTGTGATCAATACCATTTTAATCATATGCTTATGGAACATTCAGGGATGTGGTTCATTTCATCACATTTACTTGCTTTATTTGGGGCAGACTTGGGGTTTGGATGCTGTTACTATCTAAATAATAGAACTTTTTTCTTCATTCCCTCCAATACAAATTTTAAAAAACAAGGGCAAACTCTTTCTTGTTAAAAATGACATTGTGTTTAGAAGCATCAATACATAAGCACACGGATATGGGGAATATCAAAGAAATTGAGATGTTTTGTCTTATAACTTATCCTGATTTCTGAAAGTTTTATTTGACAACAACAACAGCCCAGTTGAATCCCACGAATGTAGGGTCTGGGGAGGGTGTGTGTACACAGATCTTACCCCACCCGAAAGTAGAGAGGGTGTTTCCAAGAGAACCCCGACTTGAAAGTTTTATTTGACTATTAATAGTAAATACTCTGCATCTGCAAAATTTGCCTATTGATGAAATTCTTAAATTACTTGGTAATTAGTAACCTTGATCACCTATTGAAAGTTAGAAGAGGAAAAATCACAGAATTTGACTCAATGCATATTGAAAGTTAGAAGAGAAAACACCATAGAATTTGACTCATTCCTGGATTGAAAAATTTATGCATGAGAATTTGTTGTTTACACATCAAACCGCACACCATAATGTCTCTAGTGTTTAACAACATCTTCTACCTTATAGGACCCTGGTACTCAAAATGCTACTGGTAACATTATTGAGACTGAAGGGAGTGCGATGAGTACAGAAAGGGCTGGAGTAAATGGAGCTCTGGCTACTGCATTGGGGTTTGTATCCAGGCTAACGTTAGGAATATTCTCAAGGGACAGGACCAAAACAGAATCCCCAAGCTCGGATTCCCGACTTGAAAGTGAGATCCAACACCCTGAATGGGATAGAGGAATGGGTCCTGTTGATGATAAATGCTGCCAAAGTCCAGGTGACATGGGTAACAGTGAAATGATTGATGTTGTGGAGGCCATACACCATTCAGATGTGACAGAAGCTGCATGTAACATAATGGCAGAACCAACCAGTGAACTGGTACACCATGCAGCTGGGGCATATGCTTTCAAAAACTTTGATATCACAACTGATCCACTTGATCATTATTTTGTCGGTGCTAGGGATCAGGTTAGTTTGCTTTGTTTTTTATTCATATTGTGGATAATCCGCTCTTATACTAAAATTTCTTGCTTATTGTATACCCTCTTTACGCTGTGAGGGTGTTTGGGGGGGGGGGGGTGAGGAGGTCCTTAAGTACAAAATTAAACCCTGCTGGCACTGTTAGACCAAAACCTCATTGAGGTCTTCTCACTGAAAAAAGCAGTGTCTGATACTCAATTGACAATTATCATGGTGTCAGCTGATTTGCAACAAATAGTTTTTCATTATGACCTATCAATGTATTCGTAGAACACTGGAAGGAAGTGGCTTAAGAAAGTTCGGCAAGATTGGAACTTCCTTCAGAATAACTTGCCAGGTAACTTAATCATTTTTCCATATTAATGTTGAAACTGTGTGGCTCTTGCTTTGCATGTTGATAACTTGATGCAATTCATATGATTTGCTTTTACGTTGGATATCTTTCAACAGATGGTATATTTGTGCGTGTGTATGAAGACCGCATGGATCTTGTGAGGGGGGTGATTGTTGGACCATATGGCACACCTTACCAAGATGGTTTATTTTTCTTTGATTTTCATCTTCCACCAGAGTACCCTGATGTTGCACCGGTAAGAGTATTTTTTGCTTGAAGAATTCTTTGGGCATGTAATTATTCAAATTTATGTACCCCCCTTCCACCCAAATAATAATAATATGGAGCAACAATGATAATAATAATAGTAAAAGTAAATAAACTCAATGACCTTGAAAGAATCTGCTTCACTCTATAAAGCCAATATGTATTCATTGAATTCAAATTCATTTTTTGAGCTCCTTTTCTTGCATTGTAGTCAGCATATTATCATTCCGGAGGGTGGCGAGTTAATCCAAACCTATATGAGGAAGGAAAAGTTTGCCTTAGCCTATTGAATACCTGGACAGGTAAAGGAAATGAGGTTTGGGATCCTTCGTCCTCGACCATAGTTCAGGTCCTAGTTTCACTACAAGGGCTTGTTCTAAATTCCAAACCATATTTCAACGAAGCTGGATATGACAAGCAAGTTGGAACTGCTGAGGGAGAGAAAAATTCGTTGTCTTACAATGAAAACACATTTTTGTTGAACTGCAAAACAATGATGTTTTTGATGCGGAAACCCCTTAAGGTGATTCTTACTTTTGTTCCTGAACTTGCCAAGTTACTGTTTTTTTTGTTTTGTTTTAAGATATGTTTGCGCCTTTTCTGTGTAGGGGTGAAGTATGTGTACACCCTCCCCATTTTATGTGATTCTACTGGGTTAGATGTTTTGTGATATTTTTGTGCTCAGTTACCCACGGTCCACCTATCCCCTGAGGTTATTGTTAGTAGTAGTAATTGTTATTGCTGTTCATGATATAGAGTAATCATATAGCTTACTTGAACTTGATCTTGGAGGAAGAGGAAAAAATGCACATGATTATCTTTATTGCTCTATGATTTCTTGTCATTTTCTTTCTTCAATGTTTGTAAATTGTTATGCAACTTTCCACACATGTAGAGCTGATTTTTCTCATTTGATTGATTGTATGTATGTAGGACTTTGAGGAACTTGTTAAAGAGCACTTCAGGAGGCGGGGTTATTATATTCTTAAAGCATGTGATGCGTATATGAAGGGGTGCCTTATTGGCACTCTAACCCAAGACGCATCTAGCAGCAGTAATAGCAACACACAATCAAACTCGGTTGGTTTCAAGTTAATGCTAGCAAAGATTGTGCCAAAACTTTTCCATGCTTTGAGTGAAATTGGAGCAGAATGCGACGAGTTTAAGCATCTCCTACACTGTGCACCATCATCATAAATGGGGGTAATTCGGTTCGTTCAGTGCTGCCTTTTTTTCCTACTAGGCATTTTCGCATGTGAATTATGCTACATTTTGGTTCTCTGTAGATTTTGTTTGAAATGTTCAACAGCGTTGGGAAATTATTTTAAGGGGGGGATCCCCCTCAAAACTTGAGTGACTAATTTCACTCTTTTTTTTTGGCTTGGAAATTTAGGCAGGGAGTTGTACACTGTTGCTGCTTTCATTTATTGGTGTTTTTTTAAAAGAGGAGATGTAAATTCTGCAGCAGATTTTGGATTTTAGTGAGGACTTTCACAGTTTAAGTTTGTATCATACAATGCCAATATTCGTTTTTGTTGAGGGTGAGAGCTTTTTTTTTTTTAATAAAAAAATTTGTTTAGTGACGAATCAATTCATGTTTCAATTGCTCGTACAGAAAGCGTGGTAAAATAGACACTTGATACCACCCAGAGTATGATTTTGGTTTTGACACTCTTGGGTCTCATTGTGCTCGTTAATGATAATCACATGGACCCCGCCTGAAATATTGTTATAATGATTAAATTTCCATTTTTAACCCTAAAAATGTTTTGTTTTTGAACATTAATAACTTTATTATAATATCGTATTTGTTTATATATTTTTAATTAATTAAGTACGTAGAGTTATTGTTCTCACTCGGAACCAAATTTCTGACCTCCTTATGAAAGAGTTACTATCACGCTGCTAGAATACAAGGCATTTGTCACCCTAAAAATGTTACTCGTATTAATATGGTGAAAACATCTAAAAATTGTAAATGATGGTATGATGTCTACAAATAGGATATGAAAAGAGAAATGTAAGAATCACAAATTAAATTGTTACAAGATTTATAAACTTACTCCTTTTTGAATTTCATTAAGAACACAAGCAAAAACAATAAGGTGTAGTACTGAAAATAAATAATCTGTATAATCAACTTTAGAATTTAACATTAACATTTTGAAAAGACTATCTGACAATAATTTTAAACGTTAAATTTATAAATTAATCTATATCACTAAAATTTTATTCAAATCTTTGACGCTAATAAAAAAAGGTTCTTTTTTCCAAACAGGGGCTGTTTGTCACATGCATTGAAAGCCTTGGATCGGATTGTATGGAGGAAAGGTGGGCCCCGCCGCGTGACAGTTTGAAGTTTGAACCAAAAAGAAAGTGGGTGCCAGCTCGGCTCCCGGGTCGGTCGGTCTGTCTGTCACTTCTGCACCGTTCTCTGCCCCCAACCCGCTCCCGGACAAGAGTTTCTGTTTTTGTTTTTATTTTTTTCTTTCTTTTCTTTGAAGAAGAAGAAGAAAAAAAACACTTCAATACTGACTTTACTGGGTACTCCGTACGTATTTTTTGCTTCAATCGTCGAAATTCGAAGTAAAATACCCCCTCCCACTTGTTTCAGTGTTTCTTTACGCATTTTATTTTTATTTGTTCCATTTAGTCTTTAATAGGGAGTATACTTCTTAGGCAAGTGGTAATAACTGTAATACCCAAATCCAAATTGGCCCTTACTCAGAAGTGAACGAACTCAAAGACCGATTTGCCAGCTCTATTAAAAAGTGTACCCCTACCTAGCCTTCTCCACCATTCATTCTTGGTGTGGATAATTTTTTTTATAAACTACGGAGTAATAAAAATGTACAGTAAAAATGGGGATGTAGAAATGAGTCACGTTCCAAATGTATAGTAAAAATTTGGTCTACCCCTAACAGTTTGGATTTTCCAGGACACCAAAAATGTACTCCAAACATCCTCCACCTTCTCCATCACCACACAAAAAAAGCAAGAAAAATTCAAAAAAAATAAAAAATAAAAACAAAATAAAATGAATGGTAAAGAGGAGGGTGGTGTACATTTGGGGTACACCTTTGGTGTACCCTAGTGATAGTGTAAATTACCACGCAAATATTAAGTGTGAGTAATCGGAAGGGTTGTAGGTGGAATCACCTGTAACCCGATTTGTTATTAATGATAATAGGAGTTATTACAAATACAAACCGTGTAGGTTAATTCAAACATGCCTCACAAATGAGGCTTTTAAGGGTATTTATAATAATTCTAAGCACGTCAAGCACGTCTCTGATTATTCAACCGGTCAGGCGGCTGACCGGCCCACCAGGTGCACTTGAGTAAATCTTCGGGCATTGGCATCTGGTCTCCTCATCCAACCGGTCAAATAACCCGGGCTGAAAAAGACGCGTGTTGTTCGGTGAACCAACCGGGTGGTATCCTTGGGTTATTACCCATCAAGGAGTCCTCCGATTCCCGGTCCTGTGGGGACCATCAGGGGCGGGAAGCACATGCGATCATTTCTTGGAATTTGAACAGCCCAGTCGCTTTTCAGCGGGGAAATCGTCTCGGAAAACCAGCGCCAACCCAAAATATTTGAATTTTGAATTTTGAATTTTCAAAAAACGGTGGTCCAAAGCGGGAGAATCTTCTCGAAGTCGGGTACAGAGCCGCCGATTTAACGTGCCGTTTCGTCTCCCCGAGAGGTTATGATTGCAAATCATTTCAGCCGCCACGTGTCATTTCTTCATTCGCCCGTCTGGGCGGCATCTCTCCTATATAAAGCGTCGTTCTCCTTGGAATTTCCTCACTTGCAAATCTTCAATTCAAAACCTGTCCGGCTGCTTCTACTATTTCTGAGTCCTCCGAGTCTTCTAATCGTCTCCAAGTAAGTTTCTTTCATTCCTTCTCTGAGTCATGTCAGACCGTGAGGATAGTCAGAACCCCTCCGTTCATTCTTATGGTTCTGGCGGCCGGTCTCCCACCTTTG